AGAGAGAGAGAGACAGAGAGACAGAAAGTGAGAAATCACTCCCTAGTGGGTACAACCATGCCACAATCCCTTTTCTTCTATTCTCTTCTCAGGGTCTTGGAAAAGCAGGCATGCACACATGCCCGGCATGAATTTTTTAAGTTGACAGGTCGGGAACTCAAACTGCGGTTGACTACGTGGGAGTCCAGTGACGTAACCATTATGCCATCTGCTGGTCCCCAAACGACAGTTTTTCTATCAACTGAAGACCCCCTCATAGATGGGATCCAAAAAACCTTACGTACCAAAAGTCTAGCACACTGCTCCAGGTGTGAGTCACTCTGTAAGTGTCAAATAATTTTATTAAAGCAGAACTGGGGCTGCAAGTGCGACTCAGGGCAGAAGACTCTCCAGGTTGTCTTGACTTAGGCTGAGAGGCACTAATGTTGCCACAGATGTTGCCACAGAGCTCTCGTTCCAGAGGGGGCAAACATTTCCAGACTCTCGGGATCATCATGCTGCTCCTTCCAGGTGGGTGCTGTATTGTTCCTCACTGCTCCCCCACATGGTGGGCTTTGGAAAGACTGAGAAAGCTAGAGGCTCTGTCTGGCCCTCCTTACTAGCATGTTGCGCTTTGTTTCTCCCTTGCAACCTGGCGTGACATTCCTTCTCCAGAGCTGCACCTTTGGGTCAACACAGTTCACTCTCTCTCTCGTTAATACACATTAGTGTAAGTGGATAGAATTAAAGACAGATCATCCTGATAGGGCAGGTGGGGACACGCAGGGGGCCCAGGGCCAGAGAAACGTCATGGAAGCTGAAAGAAATACACGGGCATTGGGTGCCCCAAAGAAAGAATGGTGAAAGGCAAAGTCAAGCCAGGGAGCGTCTGCAGGCTCTGGACCTGTGCCATGGCTTTCCTGAGAAGTGGTGTGCCCAGAGGCAGAAAGGTGGTGGGAGGGACAAGACGGGCTTCCAAGACTGCGATACCAACTTGTACATCTAGCCAACATCTGCTTCTGCCTGAGTCACTGAAATGCAAAACCCTGGGGGTGGGAGGATTAGAGGCCACCGGTCTGGCTTCTTTCTTGCCCACCATCTCACAGTGGATCAGCAGCAGGGCGGGATATGCACCAGAGACTGATTGGCTCTAACGCACAGTTTCTGTGGGAACCACAATCCTAAATGCTTCAGGACCCAGAAAGATGACATAAGGTTAAATAGATGAGCAGGAGACACCAGGGGCAGGGGCTATAGAGAACTGTAGGCTCTGCTCTGAGGCATTCTCATTCAACAATTTAAAAACACTGGGCCAGCCACAAAAAGCATATAGTTGGCCTGGTCGAGTAGGTGAGATCATCACGTTGTGAGTTTTCATTCTTTGCCTAAATCGATCGTTTTCCCTATTTCCCAACAACAGAGATGTCTGTCGGGTGCAAATCCCCAGAAAGATGATTTAAGCTACTTGGGACTGTCTGCAAAGTGGTCCAAACAAAGGGAGGCCTGGCCTTTGCTCACCACTTCTGGAGATGGGGGTCCTCCTTACTTCTCAAAACGATCTTAGATGGGGCCTGCCTACCCCCACCATTAGTCACTACACCTGTGTGGGTATCCCCCACATGAGGCAGAGTGCCCAAGGTAGGAGGTCATCTCTAATTTTGCAATCTTAAAAAAAATTAGGTTTGGAATTTTAAAATTGCAAATAAAACATAAGCTCACTGTGAAAACATCAGAAAATAAGGATAAGCACAAGTTAGAAAAGAAAAAAAAAATCAATACATTCTCTGCTCTCATCCCTCAAGCCCCCATTCAGAAAGGACAAAAGGCACCTCGGTGTACATTTCAATCTCCAGGTCCTTTCTTTGCTTATGTAATAAGAGCAGTGTTCACAACACGCTGTTTCTTGGACGGTGGAGGGGCTGCCCTGCGCTGTCTGCACGCTCACGTTAGACCTGGGTTTCAACACGCAGATCTGCCGGGTGGAGGCGCCTGGCTCCCCGAGCTTCTCGAGGGCAGGCACTGTAACCTTCCTACTCATCCTGAACGACTCCACAGCACCAGGCACACACTGAGCGCTCAATAAAGGTGTTTCTACACCCCTGACGCGGTCACCTGGTCACCTGCCACAGCCTCGCAGCAAAAGAGAAGCGCACGCGACCCTTAGAGGGACAGCGCCTCGCCGTCTCCCAGGTAACCGAAATCAGAGACTGTGAGTGCCCACGCATGCGCACGCTCGCTCTTCCTTCCCGTAACCTCAAAAAGAGAGCAACCGGTAAAAAGACTGCCAAGAGCCGAGAGCGCATGTGTAGTTACACCAACACCCCGGCCGCCTCCGCCTTCTGTCCATCCGCAGGCCCAGCAATCTCTTCTCTATAAACATTATCCGGAAATAGTGCCCATTTCTGGAAACCTGGAATTGCCAACCAATCGTTGCTAGGGAGCCTTTCCATTGGCTAGCCTGGAGGAGAGGGCGGGGCCAAGGGTCGTGGTGCGGCCAAAGAGAGGAGGCGCGAAGCGAGGCAAAGTTGCAGCCGCGGGGGGAGGCGTGGCCCCGGGGATGGCCGCGAAGGCGGCGAGAGGGCGGGGCCCGGGCCCGGGGCGGGGCGAGCGTGGGTCCGGAACGCAGCGGTCGGCGCCTGGCGGCGGGAGATCGAGGGTGAGCGGAGCGCGACACACGCTTGGCTGGGGGGATCGGCGCTCGGCCGGTAGGTGACGAGCGGGACCCTAGGGCCCAGAGCGGGGCTCCGAGGCAGCGGCGGGGATGAGTCGCCCCTCAGCCCTGGGCCGAACCACGGCCAGACCTGGCACCCCGGAATGGTGGGGGTCGACGGCCTAGCCGTGTGCCGACGGGCGTCCCCTGTCGGAAACACTCGCGGCGGGCCCGGGGCACCCGTGGCCGTCCTTCGGCGCGCCCTCGCACGGCGTGCCAGCTCCACAGTCGCACGCCGTGCCTTCGCTGAGCCTCCAGGTCGCGCTCCCCCGCAGGCCACAAGCTCCCTCGTAGCGCGCCCAGGACTCCCTGTTGCCCTTTCCCCAACACCCCGAGCCACCGCGCTCAGCTGCCCTGCTGCTGGCCGGCTTTTCCGCTCCGCGTCCTGGGTGCCCTCCAGGATGGGGCTCGCTCGGCGCGGGGAGGACCGTGTCTCCTGCAGAAGTACTCCCTCCCACCTGCCCTGGCATTGGAACTCTCTGGCCTTCCTGAGAAGTTCTTGGAATCACACTCCAAGGCCAGCAGAAGGAGCAGGATGCTCCAGGCATCCTCCCCCCCTTCCTCTGACCCCTCTGTAAATCTGTGTGCGCCCCCCCCCCGAGACTTTATGTGTCTGTTCAGATATAATATTCTCATCTTGGAAACTCATCGTGGCCCTGGCATCTTGCAGCCGCGGGCCACCAGGAAGACAGAGACCGCTGTTCAGTATAGTTTCCCCACCTGCCCAGGAGCCTCCTGGTGTTCGGAAACTTCAGACTCTGCGTTTCCTTCCTATCCTAGTTGAAGTTTACATGTTGCTCTCCGCCCTGAACGGTGGAGTGGAGTGTGAATCAGTTCAAGGGGGAGATGATTAGTGGAGGAAAAGTACAGAAATCACCAGTGGTGTAAATGGCAAAGTTACTTTTGGTACCTGGAGACAGTGAACTTGATGAAGGATCTAAAAGCAAGCGAAGTTAAATGATGAGAGCAGGGCCGTGGTACAAAAGAGCAGTCTGAAGTTTATTCCAGGAAAAATGTCGAAAACCCCACAACTAGAAACATGGTCTTTCTGAAAGATTAGAGTGAGATAGCATCTTAACATTAATGACGTGGTTTTTACCTAGTGTCTTCATACCTGTAACCTCGTTTTCCCTTCAGAGGTCTTTGTGGCAAGATAAGGAATATTGTACTGTTTTTTAGGAGAGGCACCAGGTGGTGGTGGTGGGGGGGGAGATACAAATTATCCTGCTAGCTGCACCATAGCTAGTCTGGAGGCTGAGTCTTCCCCCAGGCCTCTGGGTCAGGGCCACATGTAGCACTCAGATGATGGAAGGAGGGCCAAGTGTTTGGTGTGGTCTTTAGGCTCCTAAGGTAAGAGGACACTTAATTCTGCTTAGGCAGAATTTGGATTTACTCTTGATTTTTTTTTTTTTTGTAATGTCCAAGTCTGTTCCTTTGGAATGATGCCAGACTTCTGAGTTTTTTCAGACACATTTAAAACGTCCTCATTCATTTTGAAGGGTGATGGGAGAAGGAACTTCTCAGAAGACCTCAAAATAGAAGCGCTAGTCTCTGACTTGAGTTTTAGAAGTACGCGGGTATATGTACCAGCACTTTTGTGAAATTAGACAGCAGTCAGCTGCCAAAGTGCAGGTCATCTTCTGGCCATTTTCTGATTATAAGGAGCAGGTCTGAAGGGGATTTTTTTTTTTTTTTTCTTTTGGCCCCTGGTATTGTCTGTTAGGGTTTGTGGGAGTGGCACCAGTGACAGGGACCCTGTCAAATGAACCTTCATCTATTAAACAAAAATGTCTGGTTGGGCTGTTTGGCCTCAACAGTTGGAGGTTTGGTTCCTCATTTTGGTTCTTCTGTTGAACACTGAGTCCTTTGTACTATGCTGGGAGTGTTTGTGTATCATGTAATGCTGAGAAGAGGGCTTGCCCGTCCAACCTTAGGCAACGGTTGTGATTTATTTATTTATTTATTTTATTTTTTTGGAAAGTGATAACAGTTCAGCCCTGGCTAGAGATATTTAGAGAGGTAAGAGACGTAAAGCTTTAACCAGGGTTGTTTCTTCACTGTTGGCACTTTCTTAAGACCGTTGTATCACTTTGGCCTGTGAAGTCACTTTAAATTTCCTATTTGTTTTCCTGTCTTGAAGGATAGCACGTGGCCTTGCCTAACAAGCCTGCCTCGCTTAATGAAGAACTGACAGGTTCATGCTGGTTGACTTAACAGATGGTCTTTCTTGGGTGGGGGGGAAGTTCAGAAATCTTAACACTAAATGCAGTCCTAAATAAAAAGCCAAAGTTAGCTTGATACATGTACAGGTGGCATATTTCTACTGATGGCTTCTATCCTCTCAAAGCTGTTACTTTTTTTTTTTTCCTGGCAAAAGGTTAAAATGCAACTAAAATTATGCTTTCATGATTAATAAGTCACTACCGCAGTTGTGTCTGATGCTTCCTGTTTGCCCCATTTTAGTACTCAGTTAAACTGGAAACATCTAAGCATTATGGGCCCTTGGGTAACACTACTGTGAAGTTGGGGAGGAAGGACAATTCTACGACAGTGGATCTGGGGAGCTCTGAGGATAAGTCTGCTTTCCTGGATTCCTGGGACCTCTAAAAGTAGAACAGAGCTTACCAGAGACTGGGAAGGAAAGCAGGGAGGGGAGGAGGAGAGAGATTGTTAAGGGTATGAAATCTCTAGTAAGGGAAAGCAGTGGAAGGGGTGCACATTTAAGTGATGCACGTGTGAAGGCTTTGTATGTACTTAGTGATGCTGACTGAAACGTCGAAAGCAGTAGCTTAGAAATGGAAGGCTATGAGGCCAGCAGATGTCATAGTTAAGGCGCTGGACTCCCACATGGCCAACTGCAGTTTGAGTCCTGGACCCAGCGGCTTGAAACTCATGCCAGGTACATGTGCATGCCTGCCCAAAATCCTGAGAGAAGAAGGGAGGAGAAGGGATTGTGGCATGACCATCCCCCCGAGTAGTGATTTCTCCTTTTCTGTCTGTCTCTGGTGAGCACACACACTCTACTCTATAGTCTCTAAAAGAATAAAGAAGAAAGACATGGAAGGCCAGATGTCAGGCAGATTTAGAGCATTTCCGTTGAGCTGAGCTGGATGTCAGGGTATAGGGTCCTTAGTTCTGGGCTGATTTTCTTGTCTAGTGACAGTGCAGAAAAAGTCATTCTTCCTCAGTGGCTTCTTTGTCCTTCTTTGTATTCTAGTTTAAACGGTCCTTTTCCCTTCCTGCTTTAATCCCTTAGCTCCTTGACATAAATCCCTTGAATTTATGTGGCATCAAGAGTAATTTTGTAGCCAGTCTTTGTATTTTCTCAGAATACTCATCTAAAGAAAGGCAGGGACAAAGATCAGAAAGCGAAGCCCAGTAAGGAGAAATAAAGTAGACGAGATTACTCAGGAAATCAGAGTCATGCCCAGAATCTAAACCCACTTTTCTTGACATCTAGCTCACTGTTTTTTTCAGCTAACTCGCTCATGAAAGGATAAGGGTTTTTCCCTCCAAAACATGTCAATTTTGAGCATAGCTGAACCAAAGTAGCAATTTGATTTATGTATTATAACGATTATTCATTGGTATTAATCATCGTTATCAATTATTATTTGGTATTGATTATTAATCAATAAAGGGTAAAAGATAAACAACATGTCATTATTATCCTCTGGTCAGGTCCAGTTTGGCGGATACAGAAACTGAGGCAGAGAGTCAAGTGATTTGTGCAGAGTATTGGAGCGAGTCTGTAATGTCTCCAGGTCCGTGAGGTGGTTTAGGTGGTCGGGTCAGACACACCTGGGTCAGGCCCACCTATGCCGCTGCTTGCCCACGTGCTCTCAGACAAATCACTTCTCCCCAAGTATCGGGTGCTTCAGTGTAAGTGGGATAAGAAATTCTATTTTTAATTATTTTATTTACTTTTATTTATTGTTATTATTATTTTCCAATTTGACCAGAGAGAAAAGGAGGGAAATAGAGAAAGCAAGCCAGCATGTGCAAGACTTGAACCGCAGTTGACCATATGGGAGTCCAGTGCTTTTAACCACCACGCCACCTGCCAGACCCCCAGGAAATATTTTATTTAACTGTATTTATTTATTTATTTTTATTTGATCAGAGAGGGACAGAGTGAGAAAGAGAGAGAGGAAAGTGAGATAGCAAGCCATCATGTCCAGTACTCAAATCACAGTCCTCACCTGGTAGCCTGTGGGACGTCTATGTGGGAGTCCAGCGCCCTTAACCACCACACCACCTGCCGACCCGGGATCAGAAATATTTCAGGGGACTGATGTGAGTAGAAAGTGAGAGGACAATGCTCCAGCCGCATGGATACTAAGATGAGAATGATAAACAAGGTCAGCATGGCCCCTGTGTGAGGACATGTTTTGCTGTATCGTTACCTAGAGGACAATATGTTAAGTGAAGAGCAACGCAGAAAGACAGACATCGTATGTCCTTGCTCCTGTGTGGATCTGAACAGTTTGACCTCCTCGAAGCAGAACAGTGGTTACCAGAGACTAGGGAGGAGCGGGGGAGAAGAGGTTGGCCAAGAGTGCCAAGTTACAGTGAGAGAAGGGGAACGCGTTCTGGTGGTCAGAACCCAGAAGGGGGACAAGTTAACAATAAGGTATTGTATATTCCAGAGCTGCTGGAAGAGAGGTTTTTGAATGAATTCACCATCAAAAAAATGGTAACTATATGAGGCAGTGGATATGCTAGTTCCCCTGGTTCGATCCCTACACCATGTTCACGTGTATGTATATGGTACACTGTACCTCATAAATATGTGCAGTTATTGTGTGTCAGCAAAAGATGAAGCAGTCCGCATGTAGTGAAAGGGAGAGGCTCTTTGTAAAGTGCGAGCTCAGAGCCTGGCACATGGGACACCATGAGCACAGTGGCCGTGACTGGTGGTGGTGCTGGTGGCGGATGCTGCGGTGGTGCCGGTGGTGGCGGTAAGAGCAGTGGTAGTAGGTACCGATTACTTCA